ACAAAGCTAGCATCAACATTGATCTTAATATAGTTCAAAGGTGGAGGCTGCCACACCTCGATGATACTCAGAGGAGTAGGGACATGTGTTAAACCGGCCACTACTCCCTTTCCTTTGACGTTAGGAACCACCTCTGCATTGGACTGACAAGATGAGAACAATGACCAATAATTATTAACAAAATTAGCAGAGGCAGTGACAGATTCCTTCGCCTTACCAAAAATAATCATTCCTTAAGTGCCACATGAAAATGAAAAACACAAGAATCTGATAGGAATGCGTGCAACATGCGGAAACGCAGAGTATTAGGGCATCTCCAAAGTGGACCATCAAACCGCCCGCAACCGTCTATGTTGCACGGTCCGTACATGTTTAGCCATCCAACGAGGACCTATATTGATCCGCCGAGTGGTCCGGACACACTTTTCCCGCAAACCCAAGAAAACTAGGGGGGCTTTGCGGGAGTCCGAACAACAACCACGTAGGACGCGGACACCCCTGGCCCACCCAAAGCCACTCCCGGACCCTACGACTCTATCCTCCCGTTTTACCTCCTTCCGTTTTATCTCTCTTTCCTTCGCTGTTGCCCCACCACCACGGCCACCCTGCCACACCCATATAAAAACTCGATGAGTCCATCACCTCCGAAGGTATACCCGGGCTCCATGCCACTAATCCTCCGCCGCCGTTCCACACCTCTCCTCCGACCGCCCTGTAGATCTGCTCCTCGGATACTCACCATCCAGCAATTGTTCGGTGAAATGCCCGTGCTAATTTTTTTGTCCCTTCTTTTTTGAAGCAATGGAGTCAGATATGTACTACATATACAAGCACTATGTTGAGTCGTCTACCGGCTCTTCCAACGAGGATGACTACATGGATGAGACAACAATAATGCAGGTGGTCCTTGCAGACGCTAAGCGTGCGGAGGAGCATGTTCTCAATTTCAAGCGATCAATAAAGGGTAAAGGAGTGCTCAACCGCAAAAAAGGCTCGTGACCATTTGACGGATGGACAACTACTTTGCCCTTGATGCCCTCTTCGGTAACAATTTCCGCGCGACACCTTCGGATGCGCAAAAATGTCTTCGATCGTCTCTACCATGGCATTCGGTCCTTTGATGACTACTTCATATTGAAGAAGGATGTTGTGGGAAGGATTGACATCTTTGGTTAGTAGAAGTGAACGGCCGCACTGCAGATGCTTACATATGGCACGACCGCTGATTCGTGGGACGAGTATGCATGGATGTCTGAGAGCACATGCAGTAATGCCATAGTCAGGTTTGCAACTATCGTGGTCGATGTGTTCGGACCTTACTACCCGAAAGAACCAACTGTGGTAGGCACTGAGAGGATCTTCGCAATCTCGAAAGCAAGAGGATGGCCAGGTTTGCTTGGATCTCTTGACTGCATGACTGAAAACGAAAGAACTGCCCAAAAGCTTTAGAAGGGCAATACCAGGGTCGTGTTAAGAAGCTCACCATCATTTTTGAAGCAGTTTGCATCACATGATCTTTGGATTTGGCACTCATTTTTTGGCATGTCCGGGTATCACAAAGACATCAATGTGATGCAGCGATCACCGTTGTTTGCTAGATTGACTAAAGGAAAAGCTCCTCCTTACCACTATATTGTCAATAGACATGAGTACAACATGGGCTACTATCTGGTTGACAATATCTCTCCTTCATGGGCTAGCTTTCTCAGCACCATGCATCTCTAACCCAATTGGCCAGAAAAATTCTCAATTTGCCCCAAAACAAGAAGCGGCTAGAAATGATGTTGAGAGGGAATTTGATGTTCGGCAGGCACGTACCTGCTAAACAATAGGATCCAAAGACCTTGTGGGAGGTGATGACCTGTTGTGTGATCATGCACAACATGATCGTGGAGAGGATGAGGGTGAGGATGCTACCGCAGCTATTTAATTTGAGAACATGGGTGATCTTATCGAACTTCGAGATCAGAATCCGGCCATATTTGAAGAGTTTGTTTAAATACATCAACAAATTCGGTACGGAGCAACTCATGAGCAACTGAAGTAAGATCTGATTGAGCATCTATGAGCGGTTAAAGGGGACAATAATGTTGGTGTGTAATATTTGAACATTTTGAAATTAGAACTACTGTTGCATTTGAATGTTTGAACTATTCTAGACTATATATGTGGCTATTTGAGCGCACGGACTTTATTAAACAAAATTGGGGCCGGATGTATGTGGATAGCTTTGGATTACCAGCCCCCTCATCTGCGCCCGCGACTGGCACCCCCTATCCACGAACGGATGCGGTGTCCGTTTTGTAGGTCAACATTGTAGATGCCCTTAGAAAACAAAAGAATTTTACAAATTTCAATGTTGGTTCACATGAATATAAAAACACATTGATATCACATAGTCAAATTAAGGTCAACCACATGAGAAGATATAATTAGTAAAAGTGGTCCATGTGGATTTTAAACTTCCTATGTTTTTTCAATTTTAAATTGAGATAAAGAGAAAAATGCCTTCATTTCTTGTTTGGTCCAAGTATTTGAACCAGGGAATACATAGTACAACGAAATGGAAAATCCCCCATTTATATGATTTTACCAAGTCCCCCTATAAACACAAAGAGGCCTTACATGGTTACAACGGATTGAGAGTATAAGCATCACTGTGTCTCGCTCACAAGGCTCAACTAGCCTTCATTTGAGAATTTGAGACGTCAATTAAAAAACGTGCAAAAGATCATAGAAAAATCATGATCACACATTATAGGCCCTCTTTGATTTGCAGGATTTTAAAAACGCGGGAATAGGGAAAATACAGGATTTGAGTGGCATGTCCACTTGAATCCTATAAGATTATATAGAGTGTTTGATGCTACAGGAAAAACAAAGAAATTGAAAAAAGAGGTTGGAGTGGATGCTAGATTTCCAATGAAATGTAGTACACTTGATTCCATAGGAAAAAATCCTATGGGATTCAATCTTGTGAATCAAACAACGAATGTAGGAAAAAATCCTAAGGATTCTAACCCTCCAAAAGTCCCATGGAATTCCTTTGAATCAAAGGAGCCCTAAGATGCGCACGGAACCCCTTCATGTAAGTTTTTTAAAGTTATATTTCTAACTTAGTACTCATCTTCATGTAAGTTTTTTAAAGTTACATCGTCGGCCCGCCGCTCTGCTGGCACGTTGCCGAGGCGCTCGGCCACTCGGCGCGCCTGCGACTGCGACGCGCTTCCGCTGCTCCAGCTGCCCGAAGGTACCCTCCTGCTGTCGGTGTGGCCCAGACCTCCCTGCAACCCCGCGCTCTGCAGCGCAATTCCTTTCGCTCCGCGATTTCGTCGTCTGCAGAGCGAGCAATGCGTTTGTAGCCGCTGGCTATTGCGTTGTGCTGTGGACGAGACACAGTCACGCAGGACTGGGGATAGGCTACGAACTTGGCATGATATATTAAGTTAGGAGATGTGTGGATTTTGATGGGGGCGTTCTAACCTGTGAATTCAAAATCGTAACATGCGTGCATAGATTAGCTTACTCCGTTTGTTCAATGTGTATGCATCAGATCTATCAAGTATGCTTGAAATTTGGGGCTGGGACAAAGATGTTTTCAGTTATTCAGAAGTCAGAACATTGGTTCAGGTTGTAGCCGAGTAATTATGTTTGTTCACTGAAAAAGATATACTCCGTAGTTTTCTTATGGCGGGTGTATAACACGCCATGGTAATAAAAAGTTGATGCCTATCTTGTCTTGGTGGCATCACATATAAGCATTGCAACATTCTTTTTGTTCCATGCTGAAGTTCCACCTGCGGTGTCTTCTTTTGCTCCTGCCTTTGTAATTGATGTGGTGATAGTGATACAACTGTCAAATCGACTACTCCCTCCATTCCAAATTACCCGTCGTGGCCACGACAAGTAATTTGGAACGGAGGGAGTACCTTGCATAGGAACTGAAATGCTCATGATAGATGAAAGCATTTATTCATGTTTGCATAGTCCAGAATATAACATATCCTTGGTCTACTCAAAGATGTCTTGTGCTCCATGGTAATGGTATAGCCTCTGTCTTGGCAAGCTAACATATCCTCCCCCAAGAGAACCAGAACGCGTCGGAGGAAAAACGGAGGCTTGGGCGAAGAAGGGCACGCCGTCGGCAGCTGTCACCGACCCCAAACAGCGCCCGCCACCACCCAGCCCTCAAGGCGGCGCCTTCAAGAAGGTCGCGACGCCAAAGACACCGTCGCCGCCCACCGGAGTTAGGTTTTCACCCGAGAAGCTAGGTGGTGGGGAGTGGAAGGGTATACCTTGACAGACGTCTCCATGAAGAAATCGGCACCCGCGGGGCGTCGTCGTCGTCGCGGCCGGCCGGAGCCGACCCGGGTTTCCCCCGATCTGGATCCCGACCACCAGAATCGCCCGCATCCCATAGGCAGGCCATACAGCACACCCAGGGACCCTCGCAGGAGAAGCGCACCGAGCAGGGAAGAAGGCCAGCAGCCAGATCTGGCGCCGCCAGCCGCTAAGGCAGCCACGCGAGGCCCCAGGCCACCGGAGATCCGCCGGCCACCCGACCAGATCGCCGGCACAACGCCAACCCCACTGCCCGCCGCAGGAGACAGGGAGCCTCGCCAGGGGCCGCCGCCCGGATCCGAGACCCTCCGATGCAGATCGGAGCGGAGCCGGCCCCGCCGCCGCAGTCCCAGACCACGCCCCAGGCATGGCCCGGCGCCAGCCTCGTGCGGCGGCGAGGAGAGATGGAGAGAGAGGGAGGTTATGCCGGCGGGAGGGGAATCAACCCCCGAGACGCCCGCTAGGGGCGGCGCGGGGGAGGGGGAGAGGGAGGGGGCTAAAAAATGGGGGAGAATTTGTTTAGACCACTATTTTAGTGATCTAAATGCTCTTATATTTCTTTACGGAGGGAGTACTTATTTTGTTTGGAATAACTCCCTAGTATTTTAGAAGTATTGCCTATATCTGGTGACTGCTTTCACTGGTTATTATTGCTTCTGATGTTTCCAGACTGTGCTAAGCAATTCAAAGAGGTCAAGACTCATGCTTCCGGTGAAGAAACAGAGAAGAGTATCATAGAGATGCTGATAGAAGAGCTACAACAGAGAGAGGAGGAAGCAACCGAAGCTCAGCAACAAGCCGATGTAAAGTTGCTCGAGGCTAAAAAACTAGCTTTGCAGTATCAAAAGGAGGCTGACAAATGCAGTTCAGGTATGGATACATGTGAAGAAGCTAGGGAAAAGTCAGCAGAGTCACTGCTCGGTCAGAGGAAATTAACTGTTTTATGGGAGGAAAGGGCTCGGGAACTAGGATGGAAACCCGGGAATGTCAAACCTCACCGGAATCAATAATGAACACTGGTGGATGGTGATGGACAACATACCAGTCAATAGAGATCTCATTGCAAACACCCTTCCTCGGTGATACATGTATGGAAAAAGGGTTTCACTTCTGGTGACTTTTGATGTTGTTCCGGTTTGGCCAAGGTAGAGACCCCCCGCGTCGCCCCCGCTCGGGCGACTCGGGCAGGATCTAAAACCCTAGCCGCCGGGGGTCCTCATCCGTCCTTCCCTCCCTCCGCTGCCGCCAAAGGACGCCACCGGCTATAGCCCAGGGCTGATGGCGGTGGCGGGGGCCTTCCCTCTTGCCTGCGTTGTGCGGGCGGTGCGGAGCCCCGCGGCGTGGGTGGCACGGCCGATCTGGCCTGGCGACGCGGCGGACCTGCCTTCCGGCGGCGGCGCGGCGGCTGCCTCGGCCAAGGGCGGTGATGGTGGGGTGAGGCAGCCGGCCCTGCCTCGGGCTGCGTGGCAGCGTTCAGCGGCGGCGGCCGGGTTTGCGGCGACACAACATCTGACCTCGGATCGGCGGTGACGGCATGGAGGGCCTGGTGGTTGGGTCGGCACCATGCAGGTTGTGCCCTCCGGACAGATCTGATCTGGCCGGTGCGGCCTACTCCATGTGCGGCGGCTCAGATCGGCAGCGACCCGTGCACACAGTACGTGATGAAGGTTCTTCGAGCGGATCCGGGTGAAAACCTTGTGCTCAGCTTGATGCCAAGACCGGCGTTGGTGGCACCCTGTGGTGTCATTACCTTCTTGAAGGCATCGCCGTGGAGAAGCTCTAGACCTCTATCCGCTACCTCCGGGGGAAACCCTAGATCAGTTGATCGGATGACGGCGGCGCGTTGGTGTCGTTTCCTCCTTGGGGGCGTCATTCTTGGAGGCGCACACGGGTTCAAGGGACCAGCGGGCGCCTTTTTTGGTGGAGCGGTACTTCATCCTTCACATTGATGACGGCGGATCTCGGCGGCGTGGTGCAGTGGAGAATCAACGCCTGATGCGCGGTGATGGACTCGCGCAGGTGGAGGTAGTTGTCTGGCGTCAAGGTGGAGTCGATGGCGACGTGGCCTGACAAGGTAGAAGCCTCAATATCTGCTCTGAAGACGGACCTCTGGAAGATGGCGGCGACGACACATGTGAGTGCGTCAGACCAGTTTATGCCCCAGACCCGGTATGTGGCTCGGCTGGAGCTTCTGGCTTTTGATGATATGCTTAGGTGAGTAGACCGAGTATTTGGCCCAGGTAGCACCCCTTCATCATATGGATAGAAGTAGTGGCATATGTTGCCAAGATGGCGGATTCAGACATTTTGTTGTAATACTTTGTAAGGTCCTCGTGAATAATCAATAAAGTGGCCGTATGCTGAAGGAAATATGCCCTAGAGGCAATAATAAAGTTATTATTTATTTCCTTATATCATGATAAATGTTTATTATTCATGCTAGAATTGTATTAACCGGAAACATAATACATGTGTGAATACATAGACAAACAGAATATCACTAGTATGCCTCTACTTGACTAGCTCGTTAATCGAAGATGGTTATGTTTCCTAGCCATAGACATGAGTTGTCATTTGATTAACAGGATCACATCATTAGGAAACTGATGTGATTGAAATGACCCATTCCGTTAGCTTAGCACACGATCATTTAGTATGTTGCTATTGCTTTCTTCATGACTTATACATGTTCCTATGACTATGAGATTATGCAACTCCCGTTTACCAGAGGAACACTTTGTGTGCTACCAAACGTCACAACGTAACTGGGTGATTATAAAGGTGCTCTACAGGTGTCTCCGAAGGTACTTGCTGGGTTGGCGTATTTCGAGATTAGGATTTGTCACTCCGATTGTCGGAGAGGTATCTCTGGGCCCTCTCGGTAATGCACATCACTTAAGCCTTGCAAGCATTGCAACTAATGAGTTAGTTGCGAGATGATGTATTACGGAACGAGTAAAGAGACTTGCCGGTAACGAGATTGAACTAGGTATTGAGATACCGACGATCGAATCTCGGGCAAGTAACATACCGATGACAAAGGGAACAATGTATGTTGTTATGCGGTCTGACCGATAAAGATCTTCGTAGAATATGTAGTAGCCAATATGGGCATCCAGGTCCCGCTATTGGTTATTGACCGGAAACGTGTCTCGGTCATGTCTACATTGTTCTCGAACCGTAGGGTCCGCTCGCTTAAGGTTTCGATGACAGTTATATAATGAGTTTATGAGTTTTGATGTACCGAAGGAGTTCGGAGTCCCGGATGAGATCGGGGACATGACGAGGAGTCTCGAAATGGTCGAGACATAAAGATCGATATATTGGAAGCCTATATTTGGACATC